AATGGCTTTTTGTAAGCTGCACACAGGTGATACTGAGTCTTCTCGATTAATAGATTATAAACTATACCATGCTTAAATAGACTCCTAAGATATTATTTCATATATAACATATGTAAGAAAAGGGAGGGAAGAGTCAATTATATTGAGTAATTTATTTTATATTGGGTAATTTATTTCTCAAACCTATGTTTTATGGAAGAGACAAAATATTTCTGATAAACTAATATGTTATCAAAAGGTAAATGGTGAATTAATATACATTTAGAATCATTGGGAAGGGGTTATATCCACAGGGACAAGCTCACCTTTAACTTACAATAACATTTCTCTGCTATGGACTGATGAGTATATGATTCTTGCATGTTCAATGACTAACACAAACCTTCAAAATGATAATGTGCATGTGTCAGGAAGGCTCCCAAATAATTCTGAGGGGCCTATTTTTGTAATTAAATGATAATGTGCTAATCCATTACTTTGAGTTGTCTTCACTCAGAAAACATCCCTATCAAGTGTTAACCAAATAACTAGGACAGCTCTCAAGGCCAAGGGTCAGAGAGAGAGGGTCACACTCTCCGGGTGCAGAGAGCACCCCCAGCCACGTGCAAGGAAGCACGAGGTCGTTCGAGATGGGATGCTTCTCTTCACCTTTCTGATAAGAGGGGGTTCTTCTCTTCATCTTTCTGCTCGGTGGGCTCTAGCAGACAACCCTGCAGGACGAGCGAGGGCTTCAGAGGCTTCTATAATACAATGTTCCATGTTTCTTGGAGGAGTTTGATGTCTTCCTAACCTCTCCCATCACGGGGGGGACACCTGGATGCATCAGGAATACGCAGTTGCACTCAAGCAGATAGCAGAAGGAATACCGGCAGATGAGCCTCTGTCTCACTGGGGGGATCAGCTACAGTGCTCACTGAATGAGCCACACAAAAGCAGAGCAATTGGGGGGTTGAAATATGGCGCTCTGATGAAGAAGAGTTTGAGCCAATCAGCATCTCAGTGCTAATCTACAGTATCAGGATGCCTTTACACACCAGACACTCGGTGTCATAAAGGGAGGAGGAGAACGAGTCAGGAAGACTGACGGACATGTTCTTCCAGCTCTCGTACAAAGATGAACTTTGAATTGAATGACCAGATGTTTAAAGATGTACAATTAATGATTGTTTTTTATATTTCCAATGACCAGACATGTGTTAAATAGTGGTGATAAATATATTTAGTCAGATCAGATTACACTTTCACACTAAACAAAATTAATAAATAAATATTTTCAGATTATAAGGTATTGAATAATAAGGAATTTCTAATATTATAACAGATAATGTTAATATCCTTAATCATCTAGCAATCAGGCTTAACAACACTACTCTTTAATGTATTACCCATGCACAGACAGACATAAAATGATGTTTCAAGTACTGGATTAATTTCAGTTTTGGCCCAAAACAAATATTTATAATAATTCATATAACAATTATGTAGCATATTTGATCCTCAAATTAGAGAAGTATAATTTAAAGAAATTGATATTCTATATTTCAACATTAGATAAACACAGAAGAACCCTTTCCAAGTACCATAAGTAGATGTTCAGGTAAGTATGGCTAATAAGAATAATTGATAGACTTAATTTGGTACAGATCAGTTGTAGCATTTACAAATGTATGAATTAAAGTTTTAAGAATGTTTAATCTTTCCTTTCCAGGTTTTTACAAAAGTCTTTGAATATTTGCCTAACTTTTCCTTTTCAGATTTTGAACAATGTACTTGACTAAAATGAATGTACTGATTTTACTAAGACTAAGTGCCTTACTCTTGGCTAAAGCGTAATGAAGTAAACGTAAAGTAATCCTAAAATTGAGGACACTGCAACTTTGCAGATTACAGATTGATCAAATCACCACTGTGAATTTTATGCCTTAGCTGGATCTCTGATGATCCTAAGTTTTAAATGCTTTTGACTAGTGATTGCCTTAAAGCAAATCTTTAAGCTGCAAGCTGGTTTTGATTTTATAGTTTGATAAATGACATTAACTAATGGTTTAAATGATAAAAGATATTAGTTTAAAACAAATATTTTGCTATTATGTATCTGTGTTTTATGTGTGTTCATTATTGTGCTTATTGACAAAAGATGCTCCAAACACTGATGAGAGATAATTTTTCCTATTATGATTGCCTGTATCAATCATTGTGATTGAATGTTTCAATCTTATTCTACTTTGTGATGTAATTGAATGTAAGGTGAGACCACACTCGAATCTGAAGACGCCTATTGATTTAAGTATTGACCAAAATTATTCTTAGACTAATGTTTTAAGTTTATCAAAAATGATAAAAAGAGAGGAACTGTTAAGGAATAATTCTGCTAGATATCTAACCTTTGCTCTGTGACGTTTTATGATCTACTCTGACGTCTGTTATCTCCTTTAAACCTGTTTCACGCCTTCCCCCCGGTACCGGGCGGATAAACGTGTCATTTGCAGGAAACAACGTCTAAGGAATCTTAATATTGAATAAAACTATGAATGTGTTATATCCATGTAACGGGAAGAAACTCAGCTAACTGATCTTTTTAATTTTTTTTTTCAAAAAAACCCCACAATGCTAGCACTCAGCCTCTGAATTAGCCTCGATCGAAAAAACGGGACCGACAAAGGCACATAAACTCACTCAGAACTCCCTTATTACTTATCCTAGATGCACAACCAAACACTATTTTTTGGTGTCCTGGAGACACTGAATCTAACGGTGCCCACCTCAACACTCAGTGATAAACATTCGCGACGCTATCAACGAAAGCGTACATCATCACATGTGGAGCCAAGAAGCTAAACATGTAAATATGGCTTACCTTGGTCAAAAGTGGTCTTCAATGGCATTAAAACGATAAAAAAAACGATGCTGCAGTTAATCCATAGGTTCATCCTATGTGTCTGTGCCTTCTTTGAAATTATTTCTGATAATCCATAAGCAATACAACTGCGTTTTAGTTTCCAAACTCCAGAAGGAGACATTCCTCCAGTTTAGTTTCGCTTTCCACACGCGAAGCGGCAACATTTTTTCTTTACAATGTGTGTCTATGTGAGTCTCCTCCTTCGATTCTATTGGCTCTAACGGTCACAAGGGTATGTCAACCAACCAGATCGAGCAAGGGGGGCCAGAGATAGGTCAAATCCACCCAAATGACCCCAGATGGCCCAGTTTTTGGCTAAATCTCTCTAAAAAGGTCAAATTTCACTTGTTTTGCATCAATCTTGATACAGGGTACTTATTATATGTTGTACTTTGGATTCCTAAAGCTTTTAGTCTACTAACCCATCATCCAAGGGTAGTTTTCACTATCTGTAAAAAATAATTTTTGGACGGACACTATAATTTACAGTTTTTTACTATGTAAAATCTGAATTTTCTTTAAAATAAAAAACATTTATATTGATTCTGACACTTCTACATCCAACTCACAGGTTTATCATTACTTTGAGAAAAGATTATTAATTTAACCCTTTTAGAAGGGAAGATATGGTCATTTGTTCTGGGAATGTCATTTTCGAGCCTGAGACCTGAAAAACAGGCTCAGAGTGGAACAGGGAAAGGCATTGGTGCCATATGTGTTGTTGTTACCAGTTTGTGACCGGTCAACTTGTCTGGCACGAATGGTAATTGTTGTGAGAACGCTGAGGCACTTCTTTATCGGTGTTTGTGGACTCTAAGATGTGAAATCTTTGAGGCCATGAGTGTCGGACGCAGGTGGTTCAGTGTTCCCAGCTGTTTAGTCTACTCCTTCAGAGATGTTGATTACTCTCTGTGAACCAGTTAAAAGGTCTAGCATAGAGAGAGGCTCTTCAGAATTCACGTGGCAACTCTACCGTGAAGTCAGAACCTCTGACTCTTTGACTTGTGATGTGAATCCTCCGGCCGATACTCTGAATAAACCCATCAGTGTTTGACATCAAAAGCTTCAACTCTCATCGTGTCTCCTTCCTGAGTCGGTGACTCCCAATGCATTGCTACACAGAAGTTTCCCCCACAAATAGCTGTCTCTACGACCTGCATCCTGTGGTTACTAAAACCCTTTAGGATAGCTGTCAGTACGACCTGCATCCTGTGGTTACTAAAACCCTTTAGGATAGCTGTCAGTACGACCTGCATCCTGTGGTTACTAAAACCCTTTAGGATAGCTGTCAGTACGACCTGCATCCTGTGGTTACTAAAACTCTTTAGGATAGCTGTCTCTACGACCTGCATCCTGTGGTTACTAACACCCTTTAGGATAGCTGTCAGTACGACCTGCATCCTGTGGTTACTAACACCCTTTAGGATAGCTGTCAGTACGACCTGCATCCTGTGGTTACTAAAACCCTTTAGGATAGCTGTCTCTACGACCTGCACCCTGTGGTTACTAAAACCCTTTAGGATAGCTGTCAGTACGACCTGCACCCTGTGGTTACTAAAACCCTTTAGGATAGCTGTCAGTACGACCTGCAAGCTGTGGTTACTAAAACCCTTTAGGATAGCTGTCAGTACGACCTGCACCCTGTGGTTACTAAAACCCTTTAGGCAGTAAGTGTTTGCACGTTGAGCTTCATCTCCTTCTGTCATCCCTCTGTTTTTACACTGTTTCATTCGTTGGGTCTATTTCTAACTGCAGCGAGATGTCGCTGTACTTTGTATGATGACAATAAAGATATAATCTTTATATAAATATAAATGTAATATATAAATTACTTTTCAGAGGAAACGTCTTCGAGCTCCTTTACGCTCACATTTCTCCTCTCATCAAACATGACTTTAGAAATTAATCATGTTCCAGCTGTGTGTCTCTCTCTGTGTGTGTGTGTGCGTGTGTGTGTGTGTGTGTGTGTGTGTCTCTCTCTCTATCTCTCTCTCTCTCTCTCTCTCTCTCTCTCTCTCTCTCTCTCTCTCTCTCTCTCTCTCTCTCTCTCTCTCTCTCTCTCTCTCTCTCTCTCTCTCTCAATCTCTCTCCCTCTCTCATGATGCTGCAGCTGCTCCGGCTCTCGGTCCAGCAGAAGCTTCTGGTCCTCCTGGAGGACCTCCTTCAGCTGCTGGAGGAACACACGGATCCTCCGGAGCTGAGAGCGATGCTCAGCGAGCGGCTGGCGGTGGCAGAGCAGCAGATATTCGGGGAGTTTGAGGAGAGCGTGAAGGGGTTCGAGGAGCGAGAGGAGCGCAGAGAGAGAGACATCCAGAGGCCGGAGGCCGTGCTGAGGGAGCCCAGAGTGCGCCTGCGCAGAGCAGGTCAGTGCTGCTAACGCTAGCTCCGGAGGATAATGCTAATGTTACCTAACGTTAACGTTAGCTCCGGAGGTTAAGGCTAACGTTAGCTCTGAAGGTTAATGCTGTTAATGCTAACGTTAGCTCCGGAGGTTAATGCTGTTAATGATATCGTTAGCTCCGGAGGTTAAGGCTAACGTTAGCTCCGGAGGTTAATGCTAACGTTAGCTCCAGAGGCTAATGCTAACGTTAGCTCCAGAGGCTAATGGCTGGCTGAGAGGCTGCACGGCCCGAGAGGAAACAGGAACACTGTGAGGTGACACAGTGAGTGACAGGCAGTACTCAAGTTGGAAAAAGAAATCAGGGGGGATGGTGGATTTTATCATATGGGGACATAATTTTAGCTGATAACCCAGCAGAGGGTGGGAGACCAACCAGCATAAAGATAATTATTATACTCCTAAAACAACATGCATGTTATGGATGTTCAGATACTCCTGTCATTGCTCTTGACCAAGGCACCTCAGAATTGGAGTCGGTCCCCGGGCTGCCATGGCACCACTAACATTTAGGGTCAAATGCAGAGGACAATTAGTGCAAAATCTTTTTTTCACTTTAATTTAAAGGGGGGGAGGGGATAAAAAAATGTGGTTATAATGGAAGTCTATGGTACAAATCTTAGAATATTGAATTATAGTGTATTTTTTCAAAAAAGCAGTTACTGGTATACGATCAAAACTGGTATCTAAAGGGTTAATTTTGTATCGTGATTAATGAAATCATTATGTAAATTAAACACTTCATGAAAAAATTGAGGAAAAATATTAGAACAAAATTGATCCGTCATCATTTTATTGCAGTTCAAATACAAATCTTTTATGTTAACATTCCCAATGTTACTTTTTTTAACAGGGCATTAAGTGCAAATTGAAATTGTTTACAAAATATGAAAATATATTAAAAGATTATACAGATAATACAAAATAGGACCAATTGTGTCAATGGCTGCCTACTCCACTCTCCCCCATCTCATAGAAGTTTCCAAAGATTTTCATAATCATGCTTTTTGGTCTCAATTTTTCTGGCTCTTGCTTTCGGATTGTTAGCTAAGCAATGGCTTTGAAGCCAAGTCTTGACATATACATCTGGTCTGAACTTGTTCAGTGGAGGGCCAACACACTTGATGAAAAGCAAGGCTGACATGCTTTTTACCTCTAGGGAGCTTCTAGTTGTGGTTAACATGTTCATCTGACTAAACCCACGTTCACACTCAGCTGTGTTCACTGCTTGAAGGAGGGGTTTCAGCTCTTCTGGTGCTGGTGGTATCATTTCATCAACAGTTTTGAGTCTTACCAGCTAGCTAACACGAGAGAAAAACGTAGCTAAACTCCAAACTAAGTTGTTATTGCTGCTTATGTCCATAGATTCCACCTTTGGTGACTAAAGTAATGAGTAATGACTAAGATTACTGACTCTTGACTTACCTGAAATGTTATTTTTAGTCTTTTTAAATATGAAGTCCCTCAGATTGCGTTGTCCTCCTGGTCGCTTGGCCATTGTGATGACCGTTACCTGCGCTAGTGCTGCTATGCAGCTTCTGGCATCAATCAAACAGGCACATCACGGCACTCGCATAGCATAGCGTCAGTGACTTGGTAAAAATGTCATTGCATGTGTGCGTGCTCCCTCGCCAACAGTATTTTACTCAATATGCGCAAAATTAATGTTGAAATTAATTGATAAAATAACATAAGGGATGGAAAGGGGGGATGGCAGTTTTAGAAGGGGGATGATTTTGACCGTTTTTATTTCAGGGGGGATGCCATCGCCCCTCATCCCCCCTCAACTCGAGTACTACAGGTGGCACAGTGAGTGACAGGTGACACAGTGAGTGACAGGTGACACAGTGAGTGACAGGCGACACAGAGAGTGACAGGTGACACAGTGAGTGACAGGTGACACAGTGAGTGACAGGTAACACAGTGAGTGACAGGTGACACAGTGAGTGACAGGTGACACAGAGAGTGACAGGTGACACAGTGAGTGACAGGTGACACAGTGAGTGACAGATGACACAGTGAGTGACAGGTGACACAGAGAGTGACAGGTGACACAGTGAGTGACAGGTGACACAGTGAGTGACAGGTGACACAGAGCTGTCTCATGTATAATACTGTGTGAGGCTGAGGCGTATGTATGTGTGTATGCACATGTACACATGTCCCTGTATTTGTGAACACTGAGGTGTTATTAGATATGTCTCGTTAGAACAGGTAATGACGGACAGACTCACACTCCAGAGGGAACATAGAATACAGTTACCAGAGAGAGAGAGAAAGAGTATATATATATGTGTAACGTTCCTGTTCTCTGCAGACGGGCAGCTGGCTGACGGAGGTGGTCCCCAGCAGGAGGAGCCCCACCCCCACATCAAAGAGGAAGAGGAGGAGGAGGAGCTAAAGCCCACCTTCACTCCTGTCCCTGTGAAGAGTGAAGATGATGAAGAGGAGCCTCAGTCCTGTCATCTTCATCAAAGAGACACTGTGGAACCAGATGGAGAGGACTGTGGAGGACCAGGACCAGCCAGGAACCAGGATCCAGATCCAGGGTTAGAACCCATCAGTGAGGAGAACTCTCTGGACTCCTCTGAGACTGACGACAGTGACTGGTCTCTCCCAGACGAGGCTCAGTCGGGGGTCGGGGCCCCAAACAGGGACGGTCCGGAGAGCGATGTGGGGTCGTCTCACAAAGAGAGGCCGTTCCCCTGCTCCTTCTGCGGGAAGAGGTTCAGCCTGAAGGGGAACCTGAACCGGCACGTCAGAGACCACACGGGCGAGAGACCCTTCCCCTGCACCGGCTGCAACAAGACCTTCAAAGACAGCGGCTCTCTGACGGCCCACAGGAGGATCCACACCGGAGAACAGCCCTACAGCTGCCTGTTCTGCGGGAAGAGCTTCAGCGGCCGGGGGAACATGACCCGGCACATGAGGATCCACACCGGAGAGAAACCCTTCGAATGCTCCGTCTGCAGCAAGAGCTTCCACGTCAAGGAACACCTGAACCGACACATGAAGTTCCACACGGGGGAGAAACCCTTCAGCTGCTCCGTCTGCGGGAAGGGCTGCGCGCAGAAGACAGACCTGAAGAAACACATGAGGGTCCACACCGGAGAGAAACCCTACAGCTGCCCCTTCTGCGGGAAGTGCTGCGCTGAGAAGGGGGACCTGACCAAACACATGAGGGTCCACACGGGGGAGAAACCCTTCAGCTGCACCGTCTGCGGGAAGAGCTGCGCCCAGAAGGGCAGCCTGAAGATCCACATGAGGGTCCACACCGGAGAGAAACCCTTCAGCTGCTCAGTCTGTGGGAAGAGCTTCACCGTCACCGGACACCTGAAGAGGCACCTGAGGCTGCATGAGGCTGGAGGGCAACAGGAAGTAGTAGGGGGTGATTCACACTCAGCTGAAGACCAACAGGAAGTAGAACCTCTCTGTGGTTCTGGAGGCAGCGGTGCCCCCCCCCCCCCCCCCCCCCCTCGGCTGTCGGAAATCAAAGGACAGAAAGAGACGATAAATGAACCAGGGCACTCCAACCTTACACAAAAGTGTAAGGTTGGAGAAGTAGTTATTTAAAGGAAACCTATCATGCTATATTTAAATGATATATTGTAGGGCCATACCTATTTAAGGTATATTTATACGTTTCTGTTTTCAAAATACCAAACAGATCATGCATTTTAGCCATGCCTCATTTCGCTCTATTTGCTGTTTGCTGTCTACGGGGCTGATTCTGTGAGCTGCAGCTGACCACGCCCCCCTGCAGGAGAGGGGAGCGTGCTCTGATCAAGTCAAGAGGGGGAGAAAAATAGATCTCCGTCCTCCGTGTTTTATTATATTATTATATAGAGTCGTTATTCATTTGTTTTAAAGCTCAATAAATAACAAAGAAGATCTTTGACCGGCACTTTTCTAATTTTGTCCGGAAGATTCAAACTTTAACGGACATCTTGACCGGCGAAAGTAAACCTAACTGAAACTCTGCCGCACGGTCCCCTCGTTCCTTGGAAGAGGCGGAGAGGTGGGTGTTTGTCATCTGCTGGTGGACTAACCGGAGAGAATTACAGTGCTTGCCTCGACGGGGAGGGATTGCATTGAATTAAAGCAGCAGGAGCAAACGCTTGCCTCGGGGAGGGAGAAAAAAAGCCACAGCGGAGAATAAACAGAAGGGTAACCATGGTAACCTCCTGACGTCAGGACAGTGTTCAAATCTGGGTCAGTTTTTATCAGATCCGTTGCAGCCCCTTTTTTAGAAATTTGGGTATGGAGGAATATAGAGAGGGTTGTGTTTTCTGACACTTGGTGAGTTCCCTGGAACACCCCTTTAACTTAATCTGGCTCTGTATGAATAAAAGCAACACGATCATCGACCCGACGCAGTCCCCCGTTGTTGTTGTTGTTGTTGTTGCTGTGAACGGTGACGTCATGACGCAGCACCTGTCGGGCTCTGAGCGGTGGAAACACACCTGAGGCTACAGAGAAGAACCGGTTCGGAACCAGAAGAGCACGGAGCTGGAATTCAATTATATTCAAGTCTCTCTCACCACGTGCTCAGCAGCTTCAGAGGAGACCAGAGGCCTGTACTACGAAGCTGGTTCAACCTAACCTGGATATGTTGGAGTTAGCCGGTTGGCCCAATCCAAAACATACGGGCTCTTGCTAAGCTGTCCTACGACGCTGGTTATCAAGTGGATCGCTCAAGCCAGTCGTGTCCTATCTAGTTAGGTGCGCGTTCACATGAAAGGGGTGGTATTTGGAGCATTCGACCAATCTCAAACATGGACAAGCGTACTGACAGCGCAGCGTCATACTTCCTGAATGAAAAGTGAACTTTAATATTAGACAAATATGAAGAAGTTAAACTTTAAACATCCATGACTTAAACACTTTATCCAGGATAAAAGCCACATAGCTGCACCTGCAAGGTGAATACAGCTGGTAAAAGAAAAAGTGTTTGAATGCGTACATTAACAGGTTTATGAAATCACTGCCCCGTCTAAGACACGATCTGACTTTAATTACATTTGACTCGAGTGTTTCGTCAACTTAATGTGTTGCTTAAAATAATACTTCTGCATACAGTATGTGACACTGTGAGTGTTGCCCGGCCAGATACGGCTCAGCTGACTCAGATAAGGAAATATATGATACATTATGATGTGATATGATATGAATGATAATGGGACACATCGACGTCTGCACTCACAGTGCCGCGGACTGTACGTAATGTTACTCTGATCCGGTTACTTATGTTGTGGCAGATATTTAAGCTTTCTTAACGCTAATATTATAATAGTCAGATTGCTCTGAAGATGGGAGGGGATATTCTATAAATGTTCACGTTCACACAGTCAGTTGATTTTTGCCGGACGTCTTTCCTGCAACGGCAGTTTTTCTGTATTTCCTCTATCCTGTAATATGACTTGATAGCTTTAAACTCCGCACACGGAGCTCTGATTGGTCAGCAGGCGGTGCTTTCACTGAGTTGATCTCTTAGCCTGCAACCTAACCTCCTCCCGAGGAGGTTAGCCGCTCAGCATAAGTTACCATGGAGATCTGGCCCGCTAAAAAGAGAACCAGCGTCGTAGGACCGGAAAGCCCGAGTTTTCCCTGAAGTTAGCCGGCTAAGAGAAAATCCGGCTTCGTAGTACAGGCCTCTGGAGAGGAGAAACTGAAGTCCTCCTCCAGCAGAGCAACATGAATATATATAGGACATAAAACTAATAAAACAGATCAAATAGTGAAGAGAATGTTTTGAGATGAGCAAGTTAATACAAATAACATAGAAATAGTGTAAGAAGAGTCTGTATACAAGTACATGGAATATGATATATATATCAAGATGCAATCAGATGAATGTTCTGGATGTTCTTCACAGAGTTCAGGAGTTTCACAGTCGTGTGTGTGTGTGTGTGTGTGTGTGTGTGTGTGTGTGTGTGTGTGTGTGTGTGTGTGTGTGTGTGTGTGTGTGTGTGTGTGTGTGTGTGTGTGTGTGTGTGTGTGTGTGTGTGTGTGTGTGTGTGTGTGTGTGTGTGTGTGTGTGTGTGTGTGTGTGTGTGTGTGTGTGTGTGTGTGTGTGTGTGTGTGTGTGTTGTGTGTGTGTGTGTGTGCCTGTGCCTGTGCCTGTGCCTGTACCTGTACCTGTACCTGGTGTGTTGTTCCTCATGTCGTATCCTCCCTCCTCGTATCCTCCCTCATGTCGTATCCTCCCTCATGCTTTGGGTGAGCTCCCACACACAGCGAGGAAGCAGCCTCACAGCGAGGAAGCAGCCTCACAGCGAGGAAGCAGCCTCACAGCTAGGAAGCAGCCTCACAGCGAGGAAGCAGCCTCATGAAGATTCCACTTTCTCTGTAGAAACGTTAGAGAAAACAAATGAGTATGATGGAGCCAGAGTAGGGAGGGACTTCCACAGGCCGGCCGAATGCTGATTGGAGGATCGTGTTGCCAAGAGACTTTTTTCTAAGTCTGTGCACCAACCAAAGAGAACCAAGTCTAAACCATGGTATCTCCTCAGCTAGTCTTGACCAATCATAAATGTACGGGCAACGCCCTGTGTAATAAAATGTATGCACGCACGAGGTTGGAGGCTCTTGACGGATTTGGTGGTTACAGATTACAGCTCTGCTGCCTGAGATTTCTTCGACCTGACGGAGTCCTTGGTCAAGTGATATATATCTTTTGCTCTCTCATAATAAAAACGTAGAAGTCGTCTGTCTTTCCTGGAATTTTGAACACAACAGTATCTGTCCCCGGCTGTTTGAAGAGTAAGCATGGGAAACAAAAGACAGCGTTTACCTGTTTGCATCCAGCTAGCCAAGCCTTTTTTGTGTACCAGCTACGTGAGAAGCCTCGTTGATAACTTTTGTTTTTTTCACGAGCTTGCTGTGATATATAATATATATATATATTTAAGGAGGCGTGTGGTGCAGTGGATAGAGCCTTGGTGTTGGGATCAGATGGTCACAGGTTCAAACCCCACTGCAGTCAGCATGTCGTTGTGTCCCTGAGACACTTCACCCCAAATTGCTCCTCTGGGGATTGCCCACAGTATTGAGTATGTAAGTCGCTTTGGATAAAAGCGTCTAACAAGTAACATGTCATGTAATATAGACAAATCGGGTTGGTCCGGTCCAAGGTCTTTGACCAACAATTTCTCTCCCAAACTTCTCCTTTCAAAAGGATTTGATAACAGTGCTTGGACGGAATTGGGCGGGGACCGAGGTCCGGAGTCTCCACCTGCACATGCAGCCATCCTCATCAACTACTGTAGCGTCACCTTGGATACAAGTCCAAACAACTCACAGACTACCTTGGGCGCTGAAGTTGTAGCCCTTTGACCATCAGATTTGACGACGCTGATTGGCTGAAATTATGTTTTGGTGGCATAGTACTTTTCAGGTAGCAACAGTCAGCAATTGATTGGCTGCTGCTGCACTTAGGGCTCTTTTCTTAGCGCCCAGACGAGAGAGGGTAATGATACACGGGCAAAGATTTCTGCGGCCAGGCAGGAAACACGTGACTTATCAGTAACTTTAGACATCGTAACACAATTTTAAACGAGATTTTATTGTAGATTATACATTTTACTGATACCAACTATATAATATTTACCTTGTTCATTACAAATAAATAAAATATATATATATATTTTTTAATATATTTTTATTTTTTATTTTATTGTTAATGACAATCTAAAATGTGGGAAGAGGGGGGCGGTGCCCCTATGGGCCGGCCGCCACTGGGCCCGTGACTGACAGGGGCCCAAACATTTTTAAACATTAAGAAAAAATGTTTTATGTAACCTTTCATCATTCGTCAATAATTAACATTAATAGGAGGTTATATCGATAATGTACTCACTAAACTTACGATTCATTTAACTTTTTTTCTTCCAAAAGTTAATTATCCAAAGCCTCTGTACACCCCCCTCTATTTACATGTAATGGTTTGGTCCTGCCTCCAACCGCGGTGCGGCCCTTTCTAGCAGAGAGTGAGGCATGTGAGGAGCAGGGATGCTAGTACTTACGTGTGTGCCATGTCTCAACGACTCACAAAGTCAGGCTTTCAAAAGAGAAAAGAAAGGAGAGAAAGACAAGAGAGAGGGACTAAAGGGTGACAGTATGTCACCCAGTATTTCAAAAGAAAAGGTGGGTGTGGTCCATGAGTGGTGGAAATTAGTCTGTTAGCTAAGCTTAGTCCATTGTAAATAATAATTGTAATGTTTTGCTGACATTAAGTTCTGTTAATATCTTCACAGAAAATTCAGAGGTTTTTCATTTCACTCCTCTTTTAGCTGACATTTAATAAATGCAGGTACATTTTTAGCAGCTATTCATAGTAAATCAGTTGTCCCTCCCCCTGGTGCCAGGACCAACAGATCCATCTCTAGGCTCAGCAGCCCTGACCCCCATAAGGCTTTGCAGTCTTGCCATGCTGTCCATTGAAAGCCAGTTGGCTAGAAAGCTGGACTTCAAGGACTTGATCAGTGACTGTAAGAAGGCTAGGCGCTGGGCTCTTGGTGAGAGGCTGAGCAAGGGCTCGTAATAACTGTTAAAGGGCAAGGCTATGGTAACGATATTGGATCACTACACACAAGATGCATGATGAGAAAA